GTTGTTCTTGTTGTTCTTGTTGTTCTTGTTGTTCTTGTTGTTCTTGTTGTTCTTGTTGTTCTTGTTGTTCTTGTTGTTCTTGTTGTTCTTGTTGTTCTTGCTGTTCTTGTTGTTCTTGTTGTTCTTGTTGTTCTTGTTGTTCTTGTTGTTCTTGTTGTTCTTGTTCTTCTTGTTCTTCTTGTTCTTCTTGTTCTTCTTGTTCTTCTTGTTCTTCTTGTTCTTGTGCTTGTTCTTGTGCTTGTTCTTGTGCTTGTTCTTGTGCTTGTTCTTGTTCTTGTTCTTGGTGGTGGTGCTGCTGCTGCTGCTGCTCCTGCTCCTGCTGTTGGTGGTGGTGCTGCTGCTGCTGTTGTTGTTGTTGGTGGTGGTGCTGGTGCAGGTGTAGGTGTAGGTGTATACGTGTTGGCGTATGGTGTTGTTGTTGTTGTTGTTGTGGTCGTCGTCGTCAACGTTGTCAACGTTGTCTTTATCGTTGTTATGGTTGCGGTTGCTGGTTGTTGGTTGTTGGTTGATGGTTGTTGGTTTGTTTCCTTTTTTGTTTGTTGGTTGGTTTGGTTGTTTGTTTTGTTGTGTGTTTTGTTGTTTGTTTTGCTGTTTGTTGGTTTTATTGTTTGTTTTGTTTGTTTGTTTTTTGTTTCTTTGGTTCTTTTGTTTGTTCGTTTTGTTTGTTTATTTTGTTGGCTTGATTTGTTAGGTCGTTTCGTTTGTTTATTTTGTTTGTTTGGTTTGCTTTGTTTGTTTTGTTTGTTTTGTTTGTTTTGTTTGTTTTGTTTGTTTGGTTTGGTTTGTTTTGTTTGTTTGGTTTGGTTGGTTTGTTTGTTTGTTTGTTTGTTTTGTTTGTTTTTTGTCTGTTTTGTTTGTTTGTTTTGTTTTTGTTTTTTTTGTGCTTGTTTTTGTCTGTTTGTTTTGTTTGTTTGCTTGCTTTCTGTGTTTGTTTTGTCTGTTTGTTTTGTTTGTTTGGTTTGTTCGTTTTGTTTGTTTTGTCTGTTTGTTTTGTTAGTTTGTTTGCTTTGTTTGTTTGTTTTGTTTGTTTGTATGTTTGTTTTGTTCGTTTGTTTTGTTGGTTCGTTTTGTTTGTTTCTTTTGTTTTTTTTGGTCCGTTTAGTTTAATTGTTTGTTTAGTTAGTTTGTTATTTGTTTGGTTTGTTTCATTGGTTTGTTTGTTTTGTTTGTTTGTTTGTTTGATTGTTTTAGTTTGCTTTATTTTGTTTTATTTTGTCCTAGTTTGTTTGTTTCTTTGTTTGTTTCCTAGTTTGTTTGTTTCTTCGTTTGTTGTTTTTTTTTGTTTCTTTGTTTGTTTCTTTCTTTGTTTGTTTCTTTGTGTTTTTCTTTGTTTGTTTCTTTCTTTCTTTGTTTGTCTCTGTTGTTTGTTTTTTGTTGTTTTTTACGTTGCTGTGGTTGTTTGGTTGGTTTTTTGGGGTTCGCTTGATTGTTCGGTGTGTTTGTTGTTTGTTTTGTTTGTTTGTTTGTTTGGTTGGTTCGTTGCTTGGTTGGTTGGTTGGTTTGGTTGTTTGGTTGGTTCGTTGCTTGGTTGGTTGGTTTGGTTGTTTTGCGCATGTTTGTTTCGTTTTGTTTGGTTGGTTGGTTGTTTTGTTTGTTTGTTTGTTTGCTTGCTTGCTTGTTTGTTTGTTTTGCTTGTTTTGTTAATTGTTTTGTTGTATGTGTTGTTGTTGTTTTTTGTTTTGTTGTTTGTTTTTTTGTTTTTGTTTGTTGGTTTGTTTGTGTGTTTGCGTGTTTGTTTGCTTGTTTGGTTGGTTGGTTAGTTGGTTGGTTGTTTGGTTGTTTGGGTGTTTCTTTGCGTGTTTTTTTATGTTTTTTTGGTTGTTTGTGTGTTTGTTTGTATGTTTGTTTTGTTTTGTGTTGTTTTGTTTTGTTTTGTTTGCCTGGTTCTTCAAAGTTGCCTTTTCAACCACCAATTCGAGGTCACTTAACCCAAAAAGGGCCACTTCCACCTCAAAGAGGTCACTTTGAAGAACCTGGTGGTTTGGTTTTGTTCGGTTTGTTCGGTTTGTTTGTTGTTTGTTGTTTGTTGTTTGTTGTTTGTTGTTTGTTGTTTGTTATTTGTTGTTTGTTATTTGTTATTTGTTGTTTGTTGTTTGTTGTTGTTGTTGTTGTTGTTGGTGTTGGTGTTGGTGTTGGTGTTGGTGTTGGTGTTGGTGTGCTGCTGGTGTGGTTGTGGTTGTGGTTGTGGTTGTGGTTGTGGTTGTGGTTGTGGTTGTGGTTGTGGTTGTGGTTGTGGTTGTGGTTGTTGTCGCCGTCGTCGTTGTTGTCTTTGTCATTATTATGGTGGTTGTTGTTGTTGTTGTTCTTCTTGTTGTTCTTGTTGTTCTTGTTGTTCTTGTTGTTCTTGTTGTTCTTGTTGTTCTTGTTGTTCTTGTTGTTCTTGTTGTTCTTGTTGTTCTTGTTGTTCTTGTTGTTCTTGTTGTTCTTGTTCTTCTTGTTCTTCTTGTTCTTCTTGTTCTTCTTGTTCTTCTTGTTCTTCTTGTTCTTGTGCTTGTTCTTGTGCTTGTTCTTGTGCTTGTTCTTGTGCTTGTTCTTGTTCTTGTTCTTGGTGGTGGTGGTGCTGCTGCTGCTGCTGCTCCTGCTCCTGCTCCTGCTGTTGGTGGTGGTGCTGCTGCTGCTGTTGTTGTTGTTGTTGGTGGTGGTGGTGGTGCAGGTGTAGGTGTAGGTGTATACGTGTTGGCGTATGGTGTTGTTGTTGTTGTTGTTGTTGTCGTGGTCGTCGTCGTCAACGTTGTCAACGTTGTCAACGTTGTCTTTATCGTTGTTATGGTTGCGGTTGCTGGTTGTTGGTTGTTGGTTGATGGTTGTTGGTTTGTTTCTTTTTTTGTTTGTTGGTTGGTTTGGTTGTTTGTTTTGTTGTGTGTTTTGTTGTTTGTTTTGCTGTTTGTTGGTTTTATTGTTTGTTTTGTTTGTTTGTTTTTTGTTTCTTTGGTTCTTTTGTTTGTTCGTTTTGTTTGTTTATTTTGTTGGCTTGATTTGTTAGGTCGTTTCGTTTGTTTATTTTGTTTGTTTGGTTTGCTTTGTTTGTTTTGTTTGTTTTGTTTGTTTTGTTTGTTTTGTTTGTTTGGTTTGGTTTGTTTTGTTTGTTTGGTTTGGTTGGTTTGTTTGTTTGTTTGTTTGTTTTGTTTGTTTTTTGTCTGTTTTGTTTGTTTGTTTTGTTTTTGTTTTTTTTGTGCTTGTTTTTGTCTGTTTGTTTTGTTTGTTTGCTTGCTTTCTGTGTTTGTTTTGTCTGTTTGTTTTGTTTGTTTGGTTTGTTCGTTTTGTTTGTTTTGTCTGTTTGTTTTGTTAGTTTGTTTGCTTTGTTTGTTTGTTTTGTTTGTTTGTATGTTTGTTTTGTTCGTTTGTTTTGTTGGTTCGTTTTGTTTGTTTCTTTTGTTTTTTTTGGTCCGTTTAGTTTAATTGTTTGTTTAGTTAGTTTGTTATTTGTTTGGTTTGTTTCATTGGTTTGTTTGTTTTGTTTGTTTGTTTGTTTGATTGTTTTAGTTTGCTTTATTTTGTTTTATTTTGTCCTAGTTTGTTTGTTTCTTTGTTTGTTTCCTAGTTTGTTTGTTTCTTCGTTTGTTGTTTTTTTTTGTTTCTTTGTTTGTTTCTTTCTTTGTTTGTTTCTTTGTGTTTTTCTTTGTTTGTTTCTTTTTTTCTTTGTTTGTCTCTGTTGTTTGTTTTTTGTTGTTTTTTACGTTGCTGTGGTTGTTTAAGCCCCTATCCACTCAAATCGTGCCCGCCGCGGCAACAGGTACCACGGTCCCAAGTCCGCGGAGCTTCTGCCATGGAAATTTGATTAATTTTGGAAAGCTGGGGTGAGGGTTGGCCGGGCGCATGGGCCCGGCCTGAACTGCCGCATGATTGAAATTGCAGACACACCAGGCAGGAACATCCATGCACCTTCCACAGTGAAACGCAGCATCATGCGCGCGCTCAGACTCTTCTTTCTGCAAGGATGGACATGGTACAGAGGCAATCTCATCAATACAACTGATCGCTTGGCAGCTTTCTTTCCAGCTTCAGATATAGAATATGTGCGGACCAAGGTCAATACACGACGGAGTTGGTGGTTTGAACGTGACCCGCATTTCCATCTCAGAAGACGAGATGGCGTGGTCCACCTACACAAGCCTTCTCGCCCTTTACTGGCACCAGATATCTCCAGACCCGCTCTGGCTCGCTTGAAACTGCTGACTTACAACTGTCAGTCCCTCGGCCGGGGAAGCACCCGTTTGCAGGAACTAACTGAAGACATGCACTCTATTGGGGTGACTGTAGCGGCTCTGCAAGGTACAAGGTGGAAGTCTGGTGATACTCGTAGTGAATGGCCAGTCCGGGGCTTCACTGGCAAGTCACACTACACCTGCTTCAGCTGGGGACGCTCATCGCAAAATCGCATGCTGGGAGTGCAGCTTCTGGTCAGTCAAGAATTGCTCCAACATGCGCATGTGCACACACGCTTTGATCCCCCACGTGGTTTGGCAGGCCGATGTGGCGGGCTACGCGTTGTGAGCCGCCAGCAGGGCTCCAACCTGGACGAGTTGTTCATCACTGCATATGCCCCGCAAGCTACAGATGACCTGCCACAGCGCAATGCATTTTTTCTTGCTATTTTGGAGATGATGCAGGCAGTGCCTAGACGCACTAGGATCTGGCTCTTGGGCGATTTCAACGGACATGTGGGCTCTGACCTTCAAAGCGCTGCTGTTGGCCGGCACACTGCTGACAACACAAACAACAACGGCTTTTCTTTAGTGCATGCTTGTGACGCCAACAGCTTGGTGCTGAGCAACACCTTTTTCGGCGGTGGCAACACTTGGTGGTCACCAGATGGCCAAACCGCGCACTGTCTTGACTTCATCGCCATTCCTGCAGATTGCAGGTCCAGAGTGAAGAAGTTTCAAGTTAACAACATTCTGGGACGTCGTTGGCAGATGTCTCTGTTGCGTGATCACTGGCCAGTGGAACTGACGGTACAACTGGTGCAGCCATGGCAGCGGCTACCACTGCCCTTCCAGCCCACTCGCTGGAACAAGCATGCTCTCCAGACTGCTTTGGAAGACCCTGGTGTTGGCAACGCTTTTCTACAAGATTTGCAGCATGCTTGGGCTCCTTTGCGTTTGCATTTTTCTTTTGTTTCAAACACTGCTGAGCTTGAAGCACACTGGAACAAAGTTCGCAACACCATGCATGCCGTTGCTGCTGCACATTTCGGCATGCGACCGGCGCAAAGATCCATGAAGCTTTTGCCTGCAACCTTTGATTTGCTGCGAGCCAAGCGTCACCAACAACATGCACTTCTTGCGCATTTTTCACACTGGGAAACCCTGCAGCCGTCACAGACCCTTAGATGGTTTTTCTCTGCCTGGATTTTGACTGTTCAGCACATGTGCGCAACAAGACGTGCAGCTGCCGCTGTCAAACATGATAACGCTCTGTGGGATAGAAGGCTTGAAGCACGTCTGCGCAGTGCTGAGTCGCATCATGATGCTCGCGAGGCATGGTCTGTTTGTCGGCAACTTGCTGGTCACGGCCCAGGACGGATTATTGACCGTGCGGCCCCTGCAGCTCAGTACATCACTGAACAACAATGGCTACAGCACATGGGTGATGTTTGGGGTGCCTGGCGATGTTTTCCAGAAGTCGTGCTCTCTGGTGTGCAGCAGCCAACTCCCTTTTTTGAACCACTACTGGAAGGCGAAGAGGGACGTGCACAGTTTTTTGCTGCAGCAAAAAGCCAAAAACGGTTCCGGGCCACACCTCAGGGAGCAATTCCTGCTGAACTCTGGCAGCTCCTGCTTGACAAACGGGAACTTGCCGGACCTTCTCAAAGCTGGGCCCCAGAGGCAACTATGGAAGTTTTCGAAGCTTTTCAACGCTTTGGGTACAACCCGCAGCCTTGGTGTGATGGTCAAGGTTGTCCACTTCCAAAGCCTGGAGGTTTGCCAGGTCCGGCCGGCCAGCGGCTCATCAACTTGCTTGACCCAGGTGGCAAGTTGTTTTACAAAGCACTGCTTGGCTTGGCTCGAGACGTGCCGGCCGACCATCAATATGGCTACGCTGCAAAACGGTCCCGCCGGGATGCCATTCTACAAGTTGAAGCTTGGTTGGACCGTCTGCGGAAGAACAAGCTGTCCACGGCCACAACATTGTATGACTTGACCAAAGCCTTTGACACGCTCAACATGCCCAGCATAGCGCAGACTATTCAACAGGGTCCCTATCCACCGCTGGCAATGCATTTGCTGCTGGACTTGCACCACCGCCTTCGCATCCGTCTTACTCTGCAAGACGGCGCTGACCTGCAGGTTAAGCTTGAGAGTGGTGTTTTGCAGGGTGGTGGCACTGGCCCAAGGCTTTTTCGAGAAGCATTTGATGATTGTGTCTCTACATGGATTCAGAACGTGCAGCAGGAGATCACAGTGCTCTACCAAGGGCAGCGCCACTTTCCTGGCGTTGCTGCCTATGCTGATGACTTGATCAGAATCTGCAGTGGAAGGAACCTGATAGAGCTTCAGAACAAAAGCAGAGAGCAAACAGCTAGTTTGCAACAATTGCTGGCGCCCAAAGGCCTCAAGCTCAACTCCAACAAAGGCGAGACCTTACTTCAGTTCAGCGGCAAAGGCGCCTACAATGCAGCCAAAGCTGCCTTTTCTGGAGACTGGCGGGGCTACCCGCTCAGACTGACAGTGAAATATTTGGGCTCCCACCTTCAAGACAATGGCGGACTTGAGATGGAACTTCAGAAACGCATTGCGTCAGCCAAGGCCAGCTTCGCCAAGTTTGTCACCTTCTTCCGACGGTGCCGGGTCCCTCTCCGCCGCAAAGCTGCAGTTTTTCGCGCGGTGGTGAATGAAACTCTGCTCTCTGCACTTGAAGTTAGACCTCTGAGCCCTTCAGATGAACACAAACTGGAACAGGCTCGTGGGTTGCTCCTGCGCCGCCTTTTTGGCCGAGATGGTTTTGGAGTTGTGAGCGGAGATCCTGTCCACAGGTCAGTCACATTGGAAAGCTTGCGCCAACGGGCTGGCATCAGTACAGTGTCTTCAGATCTGAAGGTGCGACGCCTGCTTTGGCTTCGCAGTGCATTGCTTGCAGAACGCCATGGACAAACACGCCTGGGACTTGCGACCCTGTTTGGAGACTCTCCGGACCTTGGGCCCAGTGTAAACGGTGAGTCAGGTGCTCCTACCACCACCGCTCCGCGCTTTCTGCATATCTTGCACCGTGACTTGGCGAGTTTCTGGGCTGATTTTCCTGGTTTCCGAGGCAATTGGAAGATTCTTTTTTTGAATCTGCCATGCTCGAGCATCCGCGCGTTGCGAACACCGGATGTTCCAGAAGCACCAGAAGAGGCTGCTGACCAGCCTGCTGAAGCTCCTGTGGATCTTGTACAAGAGATTCGCTGTGATCAATGCGGCGCCGGCCCATGGAAAAGTGAACGCGCGCTGCGGAGCCACAAAATCCAAAAGCACAATGTTCGCCACAGAGTACAGTCTCGTCAATGCCCTCTCTGCAATCGTGTTTTTACAACAAAAACTGCTGCGCAAAGACATTTTGACAACTCATCCTGCGGCACACTTGTTTGTAATCATGGTCATGGAGGGGCTCTTGAAGGCCAACGTCGTAAAGAAGCTGCATTGGCTCCGGCTCAAGTCCCAGTAGTGCCTGCTGCTCCTCCTCAACAAGCCCGGCTCGACCGCTTTTTTGCAGTTCGCAATGGTCCTCGACTTTCTGCAGCCCGCCGCCAGCCCGATGGCAACGAGGCCTTCGAAGAGGGGCAGAGGCCCAGAGACGGCCACAGCCTCGGGGGCGCCAGTGCCTCTAGAGCGTCAAGTTCACGAGCTTCGGGCGCAGCTTCAGAAAGTTTGCCAGCTTGTCGGCAGTCACGACCAATCTCTGAGAGAACTAGACGCCTGGTCTACTCACACGTGGCTGTTGGACAGCGACAGCGAACTGGCCAAGATTTTGCTGGAGCACATGGAAATGTGGAAGAGCAAGCTTCCGCCTCGGGGTCAGCAGCATCCTCTAGGGCCTGCCCGCCACATGGTGGCCGGAGCTCTGGCCAAATGGCTGATGAGCTCAGAGGATCGACGCCAAGTCATGCCCAAGTTCGTGAAGCTGCACGAGCAGATGAACCAACATGCTGATTTGGGCAAAAGTGTCCAGCTTGCTTTCATCAAGACCACCAGAGATGGCCGTCTTTTACTCAAACTCCGGCCGCAATTGTCAGCGCAGAGTGAATGGGAAGAGGCCATTGCTTGGTTTGATTCTTCAATGCCCCAAGCAGAGAAGAAAGAAATAGCGCCACCTGGCCCATTGGTGAGGGCAATTTCTGGAAAACCAAAGCAAGAGCGTGATGAGCAGCCGGTTGAATGAGGAACTGACTAGGTTCTTAATTTATTTTGCTGAACTTCCGCATGTTTTTTGCAGCTTTTCAGGATAAACCTGTGCTGTAAGAGAGCTGTGC